ATACGAGCTACGGCACGTCGAGAGATCCTCAACGCACGCTGTATGGGCGGAGACGCAGACGGCTCGAGCATGCGAGTGTGAATGTTCGCGCGAGAGAACGTGTCTAATCGGGCGAAACTGCGCAACGTGGCCGTTGAGAACTGCGCAACGCAGGGTTGACTCTGGCTACTTCTGTAACATTCTCAAAAACCACTGCAGACCATTGTAGGACACAACAGAAGACAACTAAACCCTGACCCCTTCGATCCTCTCGCGAAGCGGAGAGCTTGTGTGGAATGAAATAGTGTGCCGCAGCGCGGGGGATCCAACGACGCTTACGAAAATGCGTCAAAAGTAACGCTCAAGAAAATCCTCGACCATGATCTCTACTGTGTGAGAATAGTGTCGAGAGTGAATGTACGCGCGGAGAGCACAGACGGCTCGCGCGTGGCGAGAGTGAATGTCCGCGCGGGAGAGCGTGACTGAACAGGCGAAAATCCTCGACGAGTCGTCGACAAATCCTCGACCGATTTTCACCCTACTACCAGCTGTGCAGGTCACAATGAGAGTAGTAAAGAATTACGGGGGTGCGATAATAGAATAGAGCATAAGGACAAGAAGATAGCATAAGATATAATGACAAGAGTAGGAAAGAGTAAATGAACTATAGTAGAAAGGAAAAGTGATAAAAAATGAATAATCGCGCGTAGTCGCGAGACCGGTAAACTAATTGGTATCGAAGCCCTCTCAACTAGTGCGATAGTACATGAATCCTGGCTCGTTTAGCAGCTGGTGGCCTCAGAATTCCTTATCAAATCACATCCATATACCAGTGCGATATTAGAAGAAAGAAATAGCATGGCACATCCCACAAAACAATTTATGAACACAGAGTACTTTATCGTCGCCTATTTCTTTTCAGGGAATATCATTTGGCGCAGACTTTGCAGCCATTGGTCTCATCGTCGTCCACTGGGCTTCACTTAAGCAACATGGGTTTTTCATCTCATTATTGTCGTCTTTTTCACAATTGTCAGTCATGTTTACAATGCCGGTCGCCGGCGAGGTACTACTACTCATCGTTTATAATATTTTACTTTCGGCAAGCTAGTCGGAATCACTGAATGTGATGACTTTAGCTGTGCGAATCATCATGGGGTTGGCCATCGGTTTATTATCTGCATGCAGCTCTCAGTGGAGTATTGTTTACAGCCTGGTACTATTACTACAGGTGAGAGAGTAGTTGCTTTTACAAGGGGAGGGGACAAGGTCATTCAGGGCGAGCCGCGCCTTTTCGAAATGTTCTTCTGGATCTTGTCGGGACGCATGCATGGAACACAAAACCGAGTTTTACATTTGCCGAATGATTTCGCTGTTGCCGAAACGTAATAAAACGTGTGTTAGTGGCAAAATCCGTGTCGAAGACGAAATTTTGCATTTCGGGTTGACGCTTACCTCGACTGGGGCTAAATGGCGCCAATGTCAAGAAATAATGGCATTTTTGCGATCATAACCACAAGTAACCCCCACGAGGACATGCTTAGGGAGTATGCATAAAGCCAGTAAAAACTGCAGTTCCCGAGGGAATTTTCGACTCCTTCTCTGCTGGAACTAACACCATTTAGCGCAAGCGAACCCCGGTTTTCATTTCATGTGTGCCTCCCTCAATATGCAACAACCGTTTCAGATGAGCACGGTGAAGGACTAATAAATCTGAATAGGCATAAGTCAAAGATTGCTTCAGAAATAATCCGGTTGATCATCCTTCGATGACCGAAATTGAACTCGAAAAAATTCATCGCGGCAAGGGAGAAATCAAGGATAAGGAATCAACTCCTGTCAAGGTCTGTTTCATTAGAAGCTTTGAGGAATTTTTTCCCACAACCTGTTTCGAAACGCCCAGTGAAAAATTCTATGCTTGCAGGAGATTATGACACATCCTGTGATGTGGGCAGTTTGGCTATCAGCATTCGGTGAACTTATGATGTCACAATTTATCGTCATGTATGCGCCTACCTACCTCAAAGAGGTAAGAAAAACACTGAAAAACTGCTTGTGTTTCAAAATAGTTTCAACTTTCAATTTCAATTTGATGCTCTATCTGTAATTGTTTTTCTTGTGTAACCCAAAACAAGACCGATGTGGGACAGGGGGACCCAAAACAGGACAGAGGTGGGACGGGGTGGGGGGGGGAGGTTGGATGGGCAGCACTACGCGGCTTGTCTGCGCCTCTTCAGCGATATATCGCACAGCAAGTCCAGCTTTTCATCACGAGTGCAATGGCTTGCCCTGTTTCCCTAACTGCACTGGCTACGTTCCTCGTGGCTGCTCACTCAAATCTGGGATCTGTGATCCTTGTTCCTTACTAAATCACCGCTTCACTGAGATGGTGCAGACAAGGCGCATGGAGAGGCGGCGCAAGGCTGAAATGGAAAAAAGAGTCAATACATACCGCCGATGGAGCCATCTATTCTCCAGGAATCTCCTCTCTAAGGCAGGGGCATGGCGGACGAGTTTTCTGATATTGCTTGCTCCACGGCTCCACTGATCCGCGCATATTTCACTTAGGCGCCACTCTGTAATCCACGCGACATATCATGGGGTGTACATGAGGTATCTGGTTCGCAAGTTAGGATTAGTCGCCATGAAGTTAACTTTGCTGAAACCGCTAGCACATTGCCTGTACTTTCGATAGGTCGACACGACACATTTTGAACGTCGCGTCGACCAACTCAGACTCTGAACATTTCTGGCTCAGTTCTCTTTAATGAAAGCACTCAAAGATAGATGGCTTCTCTTAAGCTAAAAACTCTGCGACCTAATAGACGTAAAACTTTAAAAATATTTTACCGGTGTTAATTTCCTATACCACCAGTTCACGGATCAACTGAAATTGACCCCAGGGAAAGTTATTTATTGCTGCTCGCTAGCGGCAGCCGTCTTTGAAAGATCTTACGCTTGATCAGTGTTACACACTGCACAAAGGGATCACGAAAATAACATCAAACAGAACAACATGAGAAAAATTGAAGACAATCAATGATGACAATTATGCGCGTGTACCTATTATGTGGATCAATTTTTTCATGTTAAAGTAAACCGCTAAGAAGGGCGAACAAGCTCAAGTTTGCCTTAAAATTTTCATTGACCGAACATTCTGTATTTTACGGTTCTTGGATTCCGAGTAGCTCATACTGGTTACTTTGTTGCGGTACCTCGTGCACTTCACTTAGCCTTCAAAATTATTAGTGGAATAGCAAGCGATCGAATCGAGTAAGTTTTTGAAACTTCACTGTTTTTTTCTAAACAAACCGGTTTGTATTCATGAATATTCTAGATTTCTAACGGAGAAAACAAAAATGAGGATTTTCAATACAAATCGCCTTAACGGTTAGTGTTTCTTTTTTATTCCTTTCTTTTGAGATCGGATAAGATATAAATTTATTCATTTATATAGGTCCTACCCAAAAATAAATGCGTAAAAAAGTGCAATATATCTCATACATTTTATCCGTGTCATAATAAGAATAATTTTATAAGCTATTAGTTCACTCTTCCAGGTAATTTAATACAATTCCTGAATTTGATTATTGAGTTCTTTATATCTCTGCTTGCTAATCGTGTTCCTAATTCCTAACGACTTTCTCACCATGGTAATACGCACTCATAATCTTTGTATCCGGCAACCAGTTACATCTGTAATCACCCAAAAACACAAGTGATGAAGGCATCAGAGAAGGTTGATAATTCAGTTCATAGTTACAGTTGATAGCTGACCACTTGCAGTTGTGACTAGCGACTGATAAAATAAAACTGCAAACCAATTCGTTGGCAGAAAACTACACATTTTGTTGAGACCGTCGTCACTTATGTTGTTTGGTCTGCGTTACAGATGCTCTTGGCTGCCAAGGTACCTAGGGTGCTTAGGTTTTGCACTTGTAATTGGAATGTTCCAAATTAACTTCTTTTCAATCTTCTTCTTAGCATATCAAAACAAAGTTGCTAGCTCCATTTGTACGATCCTGTCACACAACATATCACGATCATATTATACATTATTATATTATTTCTACAGCCTTTCCCAGGCCCTCAAAGGCACAATACGCGATCGCGAAATTGGGGCAAGACCTTAAGCAGATAAGCAAGAGTAGATCGCTGTTTGTTTGTCAATTAAGGAAAAAGAAAACAGATCACCAAAAATTTCCTAAATAAGAACTTTTCTCGGGCAGTCGTATTGTCCGGTATATAAATTGCCTAACATATAGTGTCCAGCGAGTAAGTAGGCAGACAGAAGCAAGAGAGCATCTCAGGGAACGAAACGCAGACACTGTAACGGTGGACGCGCGCGTGCTCGGATTTAAAGGCAAAGGTCGGGCTCAGTCACGCTAGAGAAGTAATTCCCGTGCCTGGAGGTTGTATGTGGGTAGCTGCACACATTGCAGCAACTTCCCACCTTGAAAAACGTCGTTAAGCCCCCGGGGCGTCGGTTTCAATCCGGGCCGCCTTCAATCCGGACCGCCCACCTCCGGAAGTGGTGCGTGGCTGGCATAACGTGTGAAATCAGCTAGGTTGATTGCCGTATCAACCGATAGAACGACTGACATCTCCAGAAAACTTGTTTGTACGTGCCTCTTCCCCTCGCCTCCTTTCTATAACTATGCTATTTGTTGTTTTTACGTTTCGATCGGAAGAAAAATACTTATCACTAGATGACGAAAAGACTAAGTTTTCTCAAATAACCCTAGGCTAAGAGCTAATTTAACCTAGGCGCTTTGGTGTTGGTTTTCGCAACTGAAATCCGCTACATATTCCTCTACGACCTTCCAAATAACAACTTAACATCTAGTGTTCCATGTGGTTGTTTGGAAGATCGCACGGAACAGTGGGCGGGCTCAATGGGGTTGGGGCGGCGCCAATGCTCCAACCTAGGCTCCCAGCGCCTAAACCTTGTCAAATCGCCCCGCCACTTCTGCACATGGTCTGCCCTTGCGTACTGCTGCATATTTGACGGGGAAACCTAAATTTCGCCAGAAATCCCGAACTTTGCCTTCAATGGAAAGATTGTCTTGG